CCACAGGAACCCCCCCCCCACCTACTGTAAGGGCCGTTCCATTGAATGTATAGCTGCATTCCACCCTCCCCCATGCAGAGAACCAGAGGTCCTTTTCCTTCAATATTAACACGCTGCTGACTTCAACCCGTACACGAGATAAACAGATCGTGCCCCATCCCATCTCCCATGGAAGGGGCTAGAGTAACCCACTGCGGGCAAGGTGCAGACCCCATTCATGCAAAGCTGCATAATTCCCCCCTTTGTTAGCATGGCACTAATGTCACCTTGTAGTGGAGATTGGTATATCAGTCCCATCTCATGGCCCTCCCTAGGATAAAGTGATTCAAAGTACCCCCCAGCCCCGGTCCCTGCACAACTTACAGATGTAGACTTGTGCTCCTCTCCCATGCAGCGGAGATGCACACAGCCACTGTGCCGGTTTATCTAGTTCCTCTGTATCCTGGAGTAGAGTGACAAAAGGCATCCTGCCCTCCTCCCCCCTGTCACCAAGGAACAGACCCCAGCCATACATACAGGTGCACATTTTTCCCCCCTCCCCCAAGATTTTGCACTGACCTCAGTCCACATAGACATACAGATAAAAAGCCCTATTCTGAGGTCCCTTTTCCCCAGGGTAGATTCCTGGGATATGTCTTTTCCTCCCACTTCCAGGGTAAATGAGAACCCCCTATTTGGGGAAAAGAGGTGCAGTTAATACCCTTTGTAGAAACAGATTGTCCTTGCATACCACTCTCCCCTTAGAGAGGTTTAGTGCTAGTCCCTTACCTGGGGTATCCTATATCTGATGCATTGAGGCACTGACTCCACCCAGGAAGAGAGGTTTAGCCCTAATTTCCCATTGGGTAGTGTGACACTACCTTCCCTGTAATATTATTATTATAATTAATTATACTCAGCCATACCAGGTGCCAGCTCCAGTATAACCCCTTCTCTCAGATTCCTCTAATTGTTAGGGCTTCCTTATCATGTTCTTTAACATTTTATTTTGCCTTCAGGGGGCTCAGAAGGGGCTTATAGCATTGTGGTTCCTCTCTCTGTCTTCAAATTGGTTCTTCTCTCATTCCAACAGGAAAAAAAAAGCCTGCAGATTTGAATCTACCTGCTTTCAAGCTAGTCATCATGGTGAAACTTAGACACAGTGAGTTTCTTTTACCACTTCTTCCCAATCCTAAGCTTTAATGAATATTCATAGTATTTTAAAAAATTTCCCAGAATGGGGCTTCCCTGGTGGCGCAGTGGTTGAGAGTCCTCCTGCCGATGCAGGGGACACGGGTTCGTGCCCCGGTCCGGGAAGATCCCACATGCTGTGGAAAGGCTGGGCCCGTGAGCCATGGCCGCTGAGCCTGCGCGTCCGGAGCCTGTACTCCACAACGGGAGAGGCCACAACAGCGAGAGGCCCGCGTACCGCAAAAAAAAAGAAAAAAAAATTGTCCAGACGCACAGTATTTGTAAATTGTTCAGTCAGTAATAGTATTTGCCTACCAGTGTTGTTGTGAGGATTTAATGAATTAAAATAGGTAGAACACTTAGAACAGTGCCTGGCACATAATAAGTGGTCTGTAAGTATTAGCTTTAAAGATTCAGCCTTCATTTCTCTTTGGAGTTTAGCCCCTCAGAGGATGCATACACTGTCTGCCACTGAATTATTGTCTGATCTCTCTTGAGCTTTGGATTTTTCTTACCTATGAAACAGACAGTGTGGATACATTGCTGTTCTTTCTGCCTTCAGGACTCTTTCCCTTTCCTTCTCATCCTTTAATGGGATAACTCTTGCTTGTTTTTCAGATTTCAACTTATACATCATTTCCTCTGGGAATCCCTCCTGTTAACCTCCTCCGTTGGTTTCTACTTGTCTGTGTACCCACAGGAACCAGGGCTGTTGACTCTATGATTGGGTCTGTCTCTTTCACAACACTGTTAACTTCTCACTGACATCTGGTTCATCTTTGTGTCCCAAGGGCCCAGCATGACCAGGCATAGCTATTTGGCACTTACTGTATGCCAGGCACTAGAATGTCTTAATTAATAGTGCTAACTCAATCCCCCCCTCCTCCCACCATGATGCTTACAGCCTAGAGGGAGAAGACAAATGTGATACATGGACTCTTCCTTAAAAGAGGGAAGGCAAAGGCAGTAGGACAGGTCTGGTTCTGTGCTTCCCTGCCTTTATCCTGCTATGGCCCAAGCAGAAAATGATAACATTTGGATAGCACACTGGATAGACTGGATGAGAATTGTGCAACCCAGTGGCCTTGTATTCTGTGTGAATTGTGGCCCTGCCTATGTAGGGCTTGGTGAAAAAAAATTCACTTACTTTATATAATCATAAAAATTTCATCAAGAATCAGACTTTGGTTATGTTAATACCAAAAGCAAATAATCATTTTTTCACGTAACACAAGAAAAGTGAACAAAAGTAGTTATACTCTATTTAAGAATATCAAATACAAGATAATAATAAAAGTATTATTTTTTAATTAATTTTTATTGGTAATAGAATTATTAATAGTGATGAAAAACAATAATTACCTGGTGAAACAGAGTGTATGCATACAAAAGAACCCTGGCAGTTTAAAAAAATGAGGAAGTAGTATATGGAAAGACTATTATATGGAAAAACTGTTAGATGGAAAGATCTCCAGGATTTGTTAAGTGAAAAAAGCAAGTTGCTGACAGGAGTACATAGTATGTTACCTTCCCTGGGAGAAAATGGAGGGAAATAAGAATATAAATTTGTATTTGCATAAAGAAACTGAATGATGCATCACAAACTAATAAAGTGGTTTCTTGTGGTGAGGGGACTGCAGTGGCTAGGGACAAGTGTGGGAGGGAGATCTCTCAGAATACATGGTTTTATTTTTATTTATTTTTCATAATTTTTATTGGAGTGTAGTTGATTTACAATGTTGTGTTACTTTCAGGTGTACAGCAAAGTAAATCAGTTATACTTATACATATATCCACTCTTTTCTAGATTCTTTTCCAACATAGGCCATTACAGAGTATTGAGTAGAGTTCTCTATGCTATACAGTAGGTCGTTATTAGTTATCTATTTTATATATAGTAGTGTGTATATGTCAGTCCCAATCTCCCAGTTTATCTCCCCCGCTTTCCCCACTGGTGACCATAAGTTTGTTTTCTACATCTGACATGGTTTTACTTTGGAACCATCTGACTGTATTACCTGTTAAAGAACAATCATACATATCTGCATTAGTGGGAAAATGGTGAACATTAAATTAAATAGAAAAACTTTACATGTGCACACAAAACAAAGACTTTCACTGTTAAATTGCAACTGAAGTCTTGATCAGACTAACTAGGATGATTGCAGCGGAAGATGGGGGAGGTGCTTCATGGTGCAGCTCCCTGCACCCTGGGCTAGAGATACCTTGGACCCAAATGGTAATGATAATGATTAAATCTGGGAAGGTTATTGAGAAGCCCTAGAAAGAGTGTTCACATACAGTTTCAACTGTTGTACGTTTTTGAATGGCTATTAAAAAGGAGGGTACGTTTTATCATTTAAAAGATTTACAACCATCAATGATTGGTGGCACAGGTATGTAATCCATCGTAATGACAGACTG